TTGGCCGTGTTCCGTCCTGTACAGGTTCATTCTGTGAACAGTGACAAGGCTTCTGGAGTACTCACCCTACTGCCGTTGCCAGGGCTGACGAGTGGGTGTCATCCTCTCACATGCTGTCCATTTCAAGTGCTTATGGTTCAAAGGAATTTGGTAAAAATGTGTTGAGAGAGAGAACCCAAGAGAGGGCACATGTGTGAATGTAAGGGTGATGTGTGAGTGTGTGTGGGGGGGGGTGTCTGTGTGTTAGGACATGTGTGTCTTAAGTGTGTGTGTGTTAGGGTGTGAGAGGATATATGTGTGTGAGTGTTGAGGTGTGTCTGTGGATAAGCAAATGATAGGGTGTGTGAGTGTGTTAGGGTGTGAGTGTATGTGTGTGTTGGGATGTGGATGTGTGTGTGTGGAGGTGTGTCTCTGGATGTGTGTGTGAATATTAGGGTCTGTGTTAGGGTGAGAGAGAGTATATGTCTGTGTTGAGATGTGTCTGGATATGTGTGTTAATGTTGAGGGTGTGTGTATGAGGGTGTGTGTGTGTTAGGATGTGAGAGAATGTATATGTGAGTGTGGAGGTATGTCAGTGGATGGATGGATGTGTGAATGTTAAGGTGTGTGTGTGTTAGAATGTGTGTGAGTGTATATGTGTGAGCGTTGGGGTGTGTCTATGGATGTGTGAATGTTAGGGTATGTGAGTGTGTGTGAGGGTGTGAGAGAATATATGTGAGTGTGGAGGTGTGTTGGATGGATGGATGGATGTCTGAATGTTAGGGTGTGTGTGTTAGGATGTGTGTGTGTGTGAGGGTGTGAGCATATGTGTGAGCGCTGGGGTGTGTCTATGGATGCGTGAATGTTAGGGTATGTGTGTGGTAGGGTGTGAGTGTGTGTGAAGCTGTGAAAGTGTATATGTGTGAGTGTTGGGGTGTGTCTATGGATGTGTGAATGTTAGGGTAGGTATGTGTTAGGGTGTGGGTGTGTGAGTGTGTGTGAATGTCAGGGTGTTTGTGTGTGTTAGGGTGTGGGTGTGAGTGTTGGCATTTGTGGGGATGTGTGTGTGAGGGTGTGTGGAGGTGTTTGAGAGTGTGTGTGTTGGGGTATGTGGATGTGTGTGTGTAGATGTGTGTTAGAGTATGAGTGTTGGGGTATGTATGGATGTGTGTTAGAGTGTGAGTGAGCGTGTATGTGTGTGTCTAAATCAGGGCGGCCGATTCTTGCGTGTTCTGCCCAAGAACCCAGTGGTTGCTTAGCAGCGTAACAATGTGTGCCATCAGGAGGCCCCAGTGAATCATACCAGTGGGCTTAAGCGAGAGTAAATCGGGCTGAGGAGGGGCCGGGGGCCAGCCCGAGGCAGGCTTGCACCCTGCTCTTGCAACTCTGGTGTTCTTGGCTGTAGCCCTGGCCAGCAGAGGTACTGGCAGGCCCCGGTACAGGGCAGGGCTGGCATCTCCTGTGGCAGCCTCAGAGTGGCTCCAGAGGGCAGCCCTCCCTGACTGGGTATGTTGGTTCGTCCTCTGTGAGCAGAGGAGGCGGGCTTCGGCAGGGAGCTGGCTCCTGGAGGGCGGTGAGCCAGTGTCACCACAATGTCACCGTCTTGTCTCTCCACAACTTCAACACTGTCCTGTGCAGTCACTCAGATGGCCTCAAGCCAGTGATGGACAGCCAGACTGTGCGCTTCCTGTTCTAAAGATCAAAGCCATGCCACACTGCTTTTCAGTTCTGGGCCACAGGGTGTCGGAAGGGGCTGACAGGACAGGGTCTCGGCCAGTGTCTGTACCAGCACTTCATGCCTCCGTGGAAAGCAGCTTGCTTTGCTTTGCTGAATGAAGACGCCCCTACTCTGCAGAGTTGGCTTAAGCCATTCCATTTTGTCCTTTCCATGTGCTCCCGTGCTGGGTGTGAACAGAAGAGGGTCATGCTAACCGGAAGTAAGTGCCCCCTGTCACTTGATCGCTGCTGTGTGCCTCGCTCTCGTGCTTGCTGCCCACCCATGTGTCTGGAGAGCCTCCCCTTTGCTTTCTGGCAATGTAGCCGCCCGGGGAGCCTTTCTAGAAACAAGCCCACGACCTTGTGTTTGTTCGTGTGTGTGGGGGGGGGGTGGGTATTTCCACAGGCCTTCCACAGCACGGCAGCAATGGGGCCCGGCAGCACCCTGTGGTTCAGAGGGCCACTGGGGGCTGTGACCCTGGCCTGACGCAGTGGCTGCCACTTCTGGGGACTCGTTTGCCTCTTCCCCACAAAGCCTCGTGTGCAGAGGTCATTCCCAACCATGCTGCCCAGGGGCCCCCCCCAAGTCCAGGTCCCGGGCACATTCACTATGGCTAACTGACCTGGGGGTACGCACATGTTCTCGCAGGAGACGCCCCCATGTCACAAAGCACCTGTCCTCTTCCAAGGTACATGGAAGGCCCTCACCAGCACCCCAAATCACAGGTGGGTGGACCGATGCCCACTGCACACGTGCTCACAATTTTGTTTCAGCCGATTAGCTTACTGTGTCAAACCGGAACAAGTGAGCCAGCCCCAGACACCGGCTTGCTGGCGGTGGAGCAGAGACAGGGCTCCCGGATGGAGACCCTGCCAGACTGCCACCTGCCTCAGCGTTTGCCCAAGTTGGACCTGGACGGTCTTCCTGTCCTGCTTGGGCACCAGAATGGGGTCTGAGGTTTCTTCTTAGATCTTCACTGTGCCCGCAGCCCACCTCACTTCTGAGAACCTGAGTCTAGACACTAGAGGGTGCCCTCCGCGCGTGGGAGTCAGGCCCGGCTGGGCCCCGGACGCTTGCTTTTGAGTAACTCAGCTTGACCCTACTGCAGAGTCCTCAGAAGCCCACTGGGGCCACCATTTACCTGATGGTGCAACCAGTGTAGCAGGCCCCGTGGCCGGCCGTCTCCCCAGAAGAGTTCACGGAGTGGCTCCCCTGTTTCTAACACATCCTGATTGGGGGCCAGGAAGCTGCATGAACACTCCACGGGGGCTGGGTGCCCCTGGATATACTTCTGGAGACAGGCGAGAAGCTTGATCCCACAGCCTAAGTCTCCCACAGAACTGTGGCTGCTGCTCTCACTGGAATACCCTTCGCCTGAAGCAGCAACGACTCACGTCCAGTGGGGAAGTGTGACAAGGCTTAGAGACACGTAGGTAGCCAGTTAGTGTCTTCACCCAAGCACACGTCAGTGGCAGAGGATAAAAACAGCTGCCCCGGCGAGGGAGAAACAGACCAGAGGGAAGGGAAGCAAGTGCCAGAGCAGGGGGACCGGCTGGCTCCATCGGGACCCCACTGCAGCTCCCACCCCTTGGTTTAGCAGTTTAGTGGTGGTCTTAGCCCATGAGCATCTCACACGCCAGTGGGTCCACCAGGCCAGAAACACGACCATGGGAAAACCCAGGGCCCACCTGGTAGTTCCTCAGGGTCAGTGCATAGCTGCATGTCTGGGGGTTCTATCTGTGGCGGACACTGGCTCCCACCCCCAGAGATGTGGACTTGGTGGATCGGAGCTGGGCACGGGAATCCTTGTTTCACACCCACTCCCTGGACTCCTATGTCCTCAAAAGCTGTAGATAAAAGACCGTCCCATACAAGTGGGTGAAACTCGTGACAACAGGAACTGCAGGGCCTCAGCACCTTGCCCTCTGATGTCCCACGTGCCAGCTTCTCAGCCTCGTGTCCATGACTGTCACCAAGCACCGAAGTGCCAGATCAGTCCCTCCCAGGTTGTCTCAGTTCAAGGCCCTCCACTGAGGAGGGGGAGATACCATCTCAAGGAGGAAGACATGTACACTCCTAGGCTGAAAACATGCAGTACTCAAGCACACGTGTCACTCACATGAATGAGTCTGAAAGGGAAGAGACAGGGACTGCCACTCGCCAGTCCCCCAGTGGCCATGGCTTCCTCTGGGGCAGGATAGACATGCCTTCCGTTTGGGGACAGCAGGAGAGAGCAGGAAGCAGGCCCCAAGGCAGCAGCTGTCCTTCCCGCGTGGGTGGCTAGGAAGCCTGCCCTGGCCAGATCAGTGAGGGAGTCAATCCGGCCATCTCCGCTGGGTGAGGGTAAGAACTCCAGAGCCTTGAGCTGTTGCCTTACGCCTCCCAGAGGGTGTCACTCCAGCCCAGAGGGCATCACCAGCCCAAGGGCACCACCAGGAGAACGGGTTCCTTTCGGATTTGGGCAGTTAAGTGAGGACTATGCATGCTACCAGAGAGCTGCTCACATCACCTCCTTGTGGGGCTGACGGCGGGCCTCAATGCACCCTGGCTTACTGTGCGTTAAAACCCAGGCACCACTGGACACTGGTGACTAGCAGGGAAGCTCCTTTAGGGCAGTGGGACAGACTGGACTCTGATCACAGCCCTTGTGGTCTGGTTTGCCAACGATTTTGTCAAACCCTGAGTGCCCCCAAAGAGTTACGGGCATCTCCACTTACTGCGATGGGGCCAGCCCGGAAGGTGTCTGCACAGTTAAGCCTGGGGACAGCTCCTGAAGGGTGTGCTCCCCTCTTCTTGCTGAAACAGAGGCAGGAGAGGCCTTTGTCTCGAGGTACTGGCGACGTCACTGAGCATGTTCCGCCAGAGCCAGGGACGTAGTGACATCACAGAACACATGCCGTCAAGGGTCTGAACGTGGTGACGTCACTGAGCACACTGCACCAGGGCATGAATGTGGTGCAATCTCTCATTTCACGAGGGGCCCAGCATTTCATTCTGGCCGTGTCCATTCTGTGAACCCAGGAAAGGGTCTCGCTGGCCATGTTGCCATGGAGCCTCCCTCCCCACCTCCCCCCCAATCCATCAGTTCCCCCCATCTTGGGTTCAGGTGAGTGAGCGGGCTGAGTGTGCTGTGGTGTTCCTTGGGGCTTCTACCTCCTGCTTCCTTCTCGCTGGCCCCCAGCCTGGCGTGACAGACCATCTGCTCCCTGCCAGCGCACGGGCCACTAGGCACTCTGGTGTGGTTGGTCTCGCTCTCTCGTCCTGCTGCCCTGCCTTGTGACGGTTTTCTCTGTTGCTGTTTCAGAAGCCCAGAGGTCATGAGCGCCGTCTCAGGTACACGGAGCACCACGGTCACCTTCACTGTTCGCCCCGGCACCTCCCAGCCTATCACCCTGCAGAGCCGGCCCGCAGACTACGAAAGTCGGACCTCAGGAACAAGACGTGCCCCGAGCCCCGTGGTCTCACCAACCGAGATGAACAAAGAGATGCTGCCCACCCCTCTGTCTGCTGCCGCCGTGTCTCCTTCCCCTTCTCTCTCAGATGTCTTTAGCCTTCCGAGCCAGCCCCCTTCTGGGGACCTCTTTGGCTTGAACCCAGCGGCACGCAGCAGGTCGCCATCACCCTCAATACTGCAACAGCCAATCCCAAATAAGCCTTTTACAACTAAACCTGTCCACCTGTGGACCAAGCCAGACGTGGCTGATTGGCTGGAAAGTCTAAACTTGGGTGAGCATAAAGAGACCTTCATGGACAATGAAATCGATGGCAGCCACTTACCAAACCTTCAGAAGGAAGACCTAATAGATCTTGGGGTGACTCGAGTCGGACACAGAATGAACATAGAAAGGGCTTTGAAACAGCTGCTGGACAGATAAGGGCCGCTGCTCCTGACCTTCCTAGACTTCCTGTTATAAGTAGAGATGGGCTTATGCTGAAATGGCTGGATGGCCAAGCGAGGTCCTTGAGCACCAACCCCACCCACGGGTTTGTCTCCTGGATCCCAAAGCAGCCCTGAGTGCGTCCGTGGGGAGGCTGAGCAGAGGCCTAAGGCCCCTTGGCCCTCTCTGTGGGGTTCTCGGGTATTCCTGTCCAAGGCGACGAGGGGAGGGAGACGTCCCAACACATGAAGTGCTCCACAGCCTGCCTCTCGGCACACAGGTGCCCTCACTCGCCAGGTCCCAGAGGCCCCCCGTTGGCTGAGCACGGGGCTCTTGGCTCTTGTAGGCAGACACCAGTGTACTTGAGATACCTCCTGAGACCTCCCTCCTCTGCTTCCTGGCAGCTCTCCCCCAACCCCGGCCCCAGCACAGGCCCTTCTTCATCCTCGTGGCCTCTGGATGCTCACCTCTCCTTGTTCTTTCTCTGTACGTGCAGCGAGAAGCCCCAGGTGTGTTTATCCAATGCCTCACCTGGGCCCGAAAGGTGGAGAATCTCTTTTTTTCTCTCCAGCTCTTGGCCCCAGCTCCGCCTGCAGCGCACACCCACGGCTCTCTGGCCATGAGGTCCTCGGCACGGGGGGTGTATGAGCAGGATCGTGCCCGGCTTTGCTTAGCTTGCTTGCTTTATTTCTGCAAATCTATTCGCATATTTCCAAGGTGGCCAAACAGGTGTCACATGGAGTTAGTCAAAGCACAAAGTCACGATTCTAAGGAGGGGACCTCGCGACGGGAGCCAGCTGGTGTGCAGTTGCCGGGTCCGGGAGCGTCCTTGGTAACAGGGGCAGCTGTGTGCCTGGAGGACCTAGGTGGGAGCAGGAACAGGGCGTCTCTGCCTTTCAGCATTTCCTTTTCAGTTGAAGATGTCTGCGCTTGGCAAAGATCAGAGTTAGGTGAGCATCCACTTTGGCATGGAGGCCTAGATCCGAGGCTGATGACGGGCGTGCCACCCCTGAGCTGTCTTCATGGGCTTTGTGGGCCCAGCCCCTCAGTTCCGAGCCCTGCCAGGGGCAGCGCCCTGTTAAGATGGCCCTTTTGCTGTCTGAGGCCAGGGACAATGGTTCTTAAGGGGCTTTTCCCTCTCTCTCTGGCTGTCAGGAATCCCACCAGCTTGTCTCAACAGTTCAACAGGTTCTCTGAGGACCACTGGGCATGGCGTGTAGGCAGGACCCAGGGTTGAGAACGAAGGTGGGTGGCAAGACGTGGTTAAAAGCGGGAGAGTAAAGAAGACAGCGGGGAGGTCTCCTGGACAGCCGGTCTTGCCTCCAGTCAGGCTTTTCGGAGCCCTTCCCCTTCTCTTCCCAGCAGTCCCTCCTCCCCTGTAACAATACCTCTGATTTCCAAGGGAGGTCATCAGCTGCACACGGACAACAAAACATCCCATGAGGCACCCAGCACATCCTCCCACCTCTGGAAGAAACTCGAGTGTCAGGGTTTTGGTTTATGATTTCAGAATAGCCCAGCCCATCTCTAATTATAAAACATGACTCTTTCTTTTCTTTTCTTTTCTTTCCTTTATGCTCACAGTCCAGTGTCTGATTAGGTCTGGAACAGCCCTGGAACGAATACGTCAAATTTAGCAGTTTAAAATCTCTTTCTTGACTGCAAGTTTCCATAGTTGTACAGATAGTTTATAAGCACAATATTTTAAGAAAAAAATTAAAAAGTGGCTGGTCTACTAGGCAGCCTTTGTGCCACACTTCAGTGCTAGAAAGTTAAAGAAAAAAAAAAAACTTTTGTGATTTGATACTACGACTATTTCTGTGAGTAATTATAAAAGTATGAGCTTTTTAAATCAATCTTATTTGGATGCATCTGAACCAGCAGAGCTGTGTTATATTTTCTATCTTTGCTAGAACTTCGTCATCAAAGGACAATTATTACTTCAAAAGTGGTTAGAATTCACAATGCAGCAGTTGCTCCAAAAATGAAACACACACACACGCACGCACACACACACACACCTTTCCCAGACACGTGCTCTCAAGTCTTTGGCCCTTCCATGCCTAAACCCTCTGCCGATCAATCTTTGTATCTGAATGATCCAATCTAGCTAGTAATCAGTTGACCATTAAGGCGCTTTCCCTCAGGCTCCATTCAATTTTTCCTTTGTCAGAGGAATGAAATGTCAAGCCAAGTTACGGTAGGTGGCCCGCTGAGGTTGTCCAATGTTGCTGAAAATGTCAAAGCAGTGGTTCAGCCTTACCCGTCTTCCATCTGATGACACTACAGAGTTCAATAGGTAGACACTTTCTTCCTTTGCCTACAGTTGGTATTACCTCTGCTCAGTGCCAGGCAAACACTAGATCAAGTGAGTGTAAAGGGAACTGCTGGAAGACTGCTGTCCATTGCAGTGGGGTCAGTTTGGGCTTACTGAACTTTGGCAGGCAGCTGGGGCCAGCTGGCAGCTTCTCCCTTTTCTTCAAGCCACCCGCAGTGACCCAGCCCAGCCGCTAACCAGACTGAAAAGATGAGGGTGCTAATGAGTTGTTTTCACATGGCCTCCTCAGCAACTGCTGACCAACAATAAACACGTTGCCAAGCCCAGTCGGCCTCCAGCTCTATTTTGATGATTTTGCGACAGAAAGTAATGGCTCCTCACTTGCGTCACCGTCCACTGTTCTCCCCCTTTGGGACATATTAGGACCAGGCCCTATTCCATGACGCTCTCCAATGGTGGAACAATGAAACTGCTCATCTGAAGATCATGTTAATAATCTCCCAGGTTTCAAGATCAACTTTTGTTACATACTGTAATTTAAATCAATTGCATTACATGCCTAGTTTCTGTAAGATTGTGTATACAAAACCAAAACCTCTCAAGGTGTCCATGAAGTATTCCTGCCAAGACATCTTCTCCGGGTGTCTCTGCACATTCTCAGTTAATTCATATAATACTAAAATGACTCCATGTGACTGCCGATTTGCTGAACTTTACATATCACAAAACTGGTTACCTGTGGTACTTCAGTTAATAAAACAGTGATTTTTTTTTTTTTTTTCCTGAGTTCTTGAACAAGCAAGCATTATCCAGTTGATCTGGTAATGACTTTTCAGGTGTGAGCCACAAGTACTGATTTTTCCCATTAACAAGGTTTTGGTTTGTTTCCAAGATACCAAGATGTCTCACACCAGAGTCTGTGTAATCACACATTCCCATTATCCACGCTGCTGTTACTTTTGTGCTTCTGTTCTTTTTAGACTTTATTAAAAAACAAAAACAAAACAAAACAAAAGCTCCTGTGATTGCACTTTTTCTCCCACTCCCTAAATCTCTTGTATGGCAACCAAACTGTAAAAAAGAAAATAAATACAATTGCACTAAGGTTGTGGTTCTGATTGCAAACAGTGAGCACTGTCTGAATTGAACAAAAAAGTTGCCAAACTTGCAGTCTAATGTAAGGTTACCAAAAACAGCCAGCTTTACTTCTCTGAAACTGACCAGATAATATGTCTCATCCCAGAGGGAAAATGCTTCTCTCACTGACCTCATTTGCCTTCCTTCCATTTCCTTGGTCAAGTTATTTTCATGTATACATCGAGACGTGTGTATTATTTCAGAATTGTTTAGAATGTCAAAATCCACTGTCTAAACGCTCCTGGAGAATGCCGCTGAGGCCTGGTTTTTCCATCAGTCCCAAGGGTGGGATATGGGGGAGCCAGACTGATCTTTTTCCTCAGAACAGAGGCATCCCTGATGCCCCCAATGAGTTACCTTCTTCTTCTAAGGCCATGGGCACTGTGGCCCTGAGCAGACCCTCCGTGTGACAAAAACAATGCTCTGGTAAGCAAACAAATGTCTAAGGCGTGGAGCAAGAGAACATGTGTCTCTTGGCCAAAAGCTGAGCCAGAAAGGCACAGGCTCCCTCTTTGGCTGAGGGAAGCATAACTGAAATTTAAGGAGCCCTCGTGGCAGAATGGTTACAGCGCTTGGCTGCTAACCAAGAGCTTGGCGGTTCAAGCCCACCAGCCATTGCATAGTGTGCTTCTGTAAAGATTTATAGCCTTGGAAACTTTCTGGGCAGTTCCTCCAGGGACTCCACGGCAGTGGGTGTGCTTTGGGCTTTGCCTCCGTGAAGACTGACAGCCTTGGAAACCCTGTGGCGCAGTTCCATTCTGTCCTCTAGGGGCACTGTGAGTTGGAATCCTCTTGACAGCAACCAGTTTTGGTTTAATGTAAGCTCAAAACACTGAATCTCTTCCGCCTCAGCAGTGCAGACCTGTCTTTAGTTCTGGAGCAGTTTTTTTCTATTTGGACACATTTCCCATCTTCAACAGCAGCCACTGTATGTCCATGTTCACAGCAAATTCCAATCCTATCTTCTGTCGTTTACCCTTCCTTAAGCCTTCCTGCTTCACCTTCTGATGGTTTCTCCGAGAACCTTAAACCTCACCCCCACCTTGTTATCTAATGGTTTCCTCCAAACCTCTTTTCCTAGATGAATATATTAGTTTGCCTGGCAGAGGGAGGGAAAATCATTAGTAAATATTTTCTTTTATGTGAACTTTGAGACATTTTAATAACCTGGTGAGATTGAACCGTCTTTCTGGCTTTGCAAATAGCCATGTACAGGCGCAAGTAGGTGAGAAATAATTCCACAGGGCTTGGGGGCCTCAGCAGCTGTGTGAGGATAGGACTGCCCATGCTTTGAGGGGGCAATCAGGTCATTTCCAATTGTTTTTCTCAGACTTCAGCAGATGTGATCACGTCCATTTTTGATCCACGCTGTATCTGTGACTTGGTTTCTTTACTGTTCTTGCAACATGTTCCATCATTTCAGTCTTGACCATTTTCTGTTTAAAACTCCAACAAGCACTGTCCGCTGCTTCTCCTCTGGAACTCTATTTATAGCAATTCTGAAACTTTCATATGAGCCTTCAAATAAATCCAGAAAAGGAAAAAAAAAAATAAAGTGTGTGCCTTGGGTGTTTTGAACCTG